ATCTGCATCAAAGTATCTACTCCGAAGGGCTATTTTGTGGATTAAATGAGATAATGTGTGTCAAAGCCCAACGTCAGTTTAGAAGCAGTTCCATACCAGAAAAAGGGTATGATTTTGTTTCTTATATGATATGTCTCCTCCGATGAGGCATTTCTCCTCTCTGAGTTCCAGTTCTCATTTGTAAAATGAGTGCGTTAAAAAAAAATTCTAATTAAAAAGCAGGAACATGTTAATATCTACCCTTCACAGTTGTGATAAGAAATAGAGACCATTTATGTAAAGTGCTTAATAAAGTACCTGGCATAAGGAAGTACTCAAAATATAGTAGTAACAGTTGCAGTTATTACTACTGTGACTATTATTATTTTTATTATTAATTTAACCAGAAGGGCAGTGTCGTTTTGTAGTTAAGCACATAGACACTGCAGCCAAATTGCCTAGGTTTAAATTCCAATTCACCACCAGAGCTGTGTGACTTTGAGCAAGTGACTTAACCTCTCTGTGCTTCTATTTCATTAATATAATAATAATTGTACCTAACTCATGGAACTGCCCTGATAATTAAGTTATCATATGTGGAATGTTTTGAAGAGTGCCTGGCAAATAGTAAATCTCTACAAACATGTTTGCTATTATTATCATTAGTAGTAATACCAATGTTTGTAGAATTACAATTATTAACAACTAGCCTCTGTGAAAGCCTTCACCTTGGATCTGATTAAGACATTCACAATCTAACATTTAGACCATCCTACTAATGATTTAGCCATGAACTGTGTGCTTTGGGCAAGTTATCTGCTCTCTCAGAGCTTGCTTTTATTTATGTACAAATTTGTTGTTTTTTTTTTAAAGATGACCGGTAAGGGGATCTCAACCCTTGGCTTGGTGTTGTCAGCACCACACTCAGCCAGTGAGCAAACCGGCCATCCCTATATAGGATCCGAACCCGTGACCTTGGTGTTATCAGCACCGCACTCTACCGAGTGAGCCACGGGCCGGCCTCAAATTTGAATTATAATAGTATCCGTAATGGTACTTCTAGGTTGTTCGGCTGCACTGATGAGCCATGACCCGTGGGAAGCTTCTAGCTTGTAGTTAATTAGGCCCTTGTTCCAGTGCTCTGCCTAAACCCAGCTCCCTGCCCGGGGGGGGGGGGGGGGGGGGGGGGGGGGGGGGGGGGGGGGGGGGGGGGGGGGGGGGGGGGGGGGGGGGGGGGGGGCGCTGCCCGCCCCGCTGCCAGGCCCTATTTCTGGGGGCCGAGCGATCCCGAGGCCTTGCCAAGCTTCCCCGGGGATCAGGTTTCTGCTGACGCGGTGCCAGGCACGTCTGCTTCCAGGAACCGGCAGCCGCATTTAGCCGCGGGCCGCACATGAAAGGGCTGCAGTCGGAAACGTGACGTTGTGTCAACAGGCGAGGCAGGTCAGCGCTGGGTGAGACCATCCCGGCAGGCCCGGAGGATCACGCCCTGTCTGAAAGCGGCCAGATCCCAAGCCTCTGTTCCCCTGGGTCTTGCCATCTCTCCTTGGCCCCAGAGCCAGTGCTTCACCCCCTCACACACACACACCCCTTTTTAAACAGAGGTCCTCTTTGTCCCCAGTGGACAGCAGGCTGGGGTGCAAGCCCCTCCCCCGCCTCTCCCTCTTAGAGCACTTGGATCCTGCTGAAACTGGGCTAGAAGGAAGGTCAAGGGCAAACTGGAAGCAGAAAAGGAGGCAGAGGGACAGCTGCAACTTTGAGGGTGTTTGATAGGAGCAGACTCCAGTAGGGGGATTCTGGGTTGACTGTGTGTGAAACCCTCAAATCTTTTTTTAGCTCAGTTTGCTCCAACCACTTCCTTCTGTCCCCACAGCTACTCCTTGAGTCATGGCCTAGGAAAGAGAGAGGGGCATGCGAAAGAGTTTGGCCTTGATTTCAACCCCAGGCTCCATCATCAGGATAAACTTGACTTGTCCGGGCTTTTACCAAAAAAGTCTAGCTGGAAAGGTCTGGCAACTCATGGAGAAATTCAGGAAGTTAGCATGCTGGAGACCTGGAAGCGTGGGTTGTAAGTGCTGGGAGAAGGAGGGATTTACAGAATTTGCCGTCTGCCTGCTCCAGGACATGTGAGAAGGGCTCAGAATCCTTATTTTATCTAGTCAAAAACAGGCGTGGAGGGGGAGATCAGACCACCAGCTATTGATGCCAGGCCTCCTGACTCCAGGTCCTGGGCTTCTTGCACAACACCACATGGCCTGGGGACAATTGTACATTCCACATCTGTCTATCACAAGCAAGAAACATTCACTCTCGCCCTCACCTGCTGGCCCATCAGGAGACAAGGAAGATGACAACTGAAGCAAACAGTCCTAATGGGCAGGCAGTGCCTGTGCCTGGCTGAGAATTCCCTACTTGGACTCCAGAGAACCAGAGGGTTCTGGAAGGTTCAGATGTCTTGGGGGCTGGAGCATGTGGAGCCAGGCACTGGCCATCAGGAGACATCAGGACACCTCTGAGAGGGAGTATCTGACAGGAATGCTGCAACTCAAGGTGAAGGGGAGAGGCAAAAATACTCAACCCGGTCATTTCCCACTTCTTTTCCCATGGAATTTTTCCCTTTTTTAATAAGAGCACTTGACTAAGGAACACCAATATTCGTTCATGCACAAACACACCCAATGAGAGGAAGTCCAGGAAGGATGTAGAAAATAACTATGGAACGTTGCCTCCAGCAGCAATGACAGGATATGGCAAATCCATTAGACCTTGCTAGATTTGAAAACGTCAAACTGCCTTGGCAAAGAGGTGCTACCTCCAGCATCAATTATTATTGCTTAATAATCCATTAAATCTTTTTTCAACGTGCCTGCCCTTCCAGCAAGCTCCTCAGGCACTCTGGCCCATGATTTGATTCCGTGGTTTTGTCAAATTCTAAAGATCATGACTAAAGCAGACTGGAGGGAGAAAAATGTACTTTTTGCTTAACTCTGGAAAGAGGTATAGTATGATTGTGAACCCCTGGCATGGAAAAGTTAAAAAGAAAATTAAGGGCCAGCCCATGGCTCACTCAGGAGAGAGCGGTGCTGATAACACCAAGGCCATGGGTTTGGATCCTCTATAGGGATGGCTGGTTTGCTCACTGGCTGAGCGTGGTGCTGACAACACCAAGCCAAGGGTTTAGATCCCCTTACAGGTCATCTTTTTAGAAAAATAAAAATAAAAAAGAAAATTAAACCAATATTTACCTACTAGGTTGACTAAGCTTCTTCTGAGTGAATATAAGGCATATGAAAAGCTGAATGAAATTACACCAAGATTAACTAGTTACCTTCATCCTAGACAAGAGGACATAAAAGACATCCACATCACACATCAAGTTATTTAAAAAGCTCAGGAGACCATCTTTCTCTTCCACAGGAAAAGGATTATTTTATTAAGTATTTTAAAACAACTACTTAACATTTACTCATAGATAAAAATATTTACAATTTCACACCTTCAGGAAGGCTCCAAAATATAAACACTGTACCTCTCCCTAGAGAAAAAAATTATTCTCTTCAAAAACAGAAATACATTCATTTTTCTCACTTTGTAGATCAAGTAATTATACAAATAAACATCTGAAACATTTTCCTTTTCAATATATTTATATAATATATAACAGCTTTACAAATAAAGGCAACGACTGTATACCAAAATAAAAACAGGAAAAGAAGTTAAAACACAATCGGCGATCAAAGCATAGTGCATTTTGAAAAGCTGGTGCACGGTTAGCTGGACGAGTCAGGAAAACAAGAACTCTGGACCAAAAATAAAACATCTTTGAAGGAGACAGAGAATTTTTAGCAATAAGGACACTCCATATGCCATCAGGCAAGAAGAATTAGCCTACAGAAAGGTTCTTGCGGTGTCAAGGCTCAGTTAGGCCTTTGAGAAGCTAAGCTTGGTTAAAAGGAGCTTTTAGGATAGAATTTAAAACCGAGTCTAGCTTTGCTAGAAGGTAGCAATTTGTTACTTTGGGGCGTCCTGGGTGGCCTCATCTCTCAGACCCTAGTTTGGTTCCCTGGACAGCAAGTACTACCGGTGAGACCAAGAAACAGGTGCCAGAGGCCTGGGGAACTCCTACCTCATTCCCTGGCAGCTCAGCTTGCACAAGGGGGCCATTTTCAGTTCCTTAGTAAGCTAATCATCATCCAAGCCTGAGCAGGGAACTACATTCTCCTTATTCATCCGAGGCAAGGGTGGGGAGACCTGTAGAAATCTCCCCAAACCACTACCGGGCTATGCCAGTGTCTGCTACCTCACCACTTTAACAGAGTTCAGTCTGACTGCTCTCTCCCCGTCGTCTGGTGAGTCACATCAACAATAAAGGGAGAAGGGTGGGGTCCTCACAGCTGGCTGGGAGCTGCGCTGTGGAAAGCCCTCTTTTGAAAGTACCTTGTTCTCAAAGCCACAGACCCGGCTCCCAAACTGAAGAGTGACTCACAGACCAGACTTTGAAGCTTTTGAAAATCCAGCTGATTTGTATCAAAGGAGGCTATTCTCTGGGTGGGGAAAAGCCCAGAAGTCTGCTACAAACCCCCTAAATCTCCTGATGTCAAGCAATCCTTCGCATTTTCCCTACCCAAAAGGAGCTTTAATGTCCTATACCAACACACAGGCACGCGATGCGCGTGCACGTAGCGCGCATGCACACGCACCCTGAATCTCCTCTCCATGCCTCGGATTATCTCAGTATACACAATACATTCTGCCAATAAACTTGTGAGCTTGGAGAGAACTCTGAGCCTCACATGAGATCCCAGTTTCAGCAGACACCTTAATTTCAGGCTTGTGAGAACCTGTCTAAGCAAAAAACCTACATAGGCCTCACCCTAACTTCTGACCCATGTAACTGTGCTGTACTAAATGACCACTGTTTTAAGGCACTAAGTGTGCATTAGTTACACAACCAGTATGTGATGTTAAAAAATAGCAAAAAAAAAAAAAAAAAAAAAAAATTTTTTGGGGGTTTTTTTTTTTTTTTTTTGGAAGTAGGGAAGAAGGAAAGCGAAGCAGCAGGATCCCCTGCAGAGTTTAGTCTTTGGTTTCTAAGTTTAAAGGGGGGATCTGCTTCAGAGCTTGGAGCAAAGCCGAAGAGTCGACGGACGGATGGGCTGGCAAGGGAGACGGGAGTCTCTGGGGCATGAGCAGCGGAGCTGAGAGCTTGTCTGGGTTCATGAAGCTGGTGAGGGCTGCGGCAGAGGCGTTGAGGCCCGGGTATAACACTGGCACAGAGGTGGGATACCAGCACTTCTCCAGCATGGGCAGATAAGCGGTCGCTGACGGTGGGATCAGATAGAAGGGCAGGCAGAAGGGGGGCTGGTGCGGATGTGGGCCCAGGAACGCGGAGCTGATGAGGTCACTGCTGGAGAAATGGCCTTCATCATCGGAGAGCTGCATTCGGCTCTTTTTTGTGGGGGGCTCTTCGGATTCTTGCTTAATAGCGCCGACCCTTTCTCCCATGGGGAACCTACGTCCGTGATCGCTTTTGAAATACGGTTGCTCGCCGCGCAAGTCACTCTTCTCCGACTCTCCGCCGTAGCCACTGTCTGTGTCCGTGTCGCTTCCGCTCTGCTCCCCGCTCGAGTGAGCGAAAGTCCTCTGGATGACTGGCACACAGTTTTTCCCAGGGCCTTCTGAGCCTTTGGCCAAGGAGCTGGGTTTCTCCTTGAAGTCCATGGCTTTGGGGGCTGGGTCTGATGGCTTCCTGGAGGTGCCACCCTGCAGCAGCTCTGAGACCACACGGTGGAGGTGGGTGACAAGCTGCGAAGACTTCAGGTCCCGAGTGTTCTCATGCTTGGCCAGGTACTGAAGCACCTCCCGGGCACATGTCTGGAAACCTGAGCAGAACATCTCTTGACCTGCTTCGATATTTCTCCCCGACAGCTCACCTGGGGGGGAACACAGATGCAAGGAAAACATTTCAGAAGGCCCTGTGATGCACCTGGATACCTATACTCCAAAAACTGGGGGCTTTCCTTTTTGTTAAAAAATACTGTTTGCCAACTTGCATTCCTAAATGTAATATGCTCCAAAAGTAATATGCTCAGAGAAAAATTACACTGAAAAGTATAAAGAATAAAATAAAAATAACCCACAATCCTACCACACAGAGATAAAATATGATCTTTAATAGTTGCACAATATCCCATCATATAAATGAGCCATAATTAATAGAGGTGGACTATTTCCCTTCTTGTTGAATTTATAGGTTGTTCCAGAATTTTCATTGTAAGTGATGCAGCAATGAACATTCTGGTATATTTATAAACCTGAATCTATTCATAGAATATCGATTTCACCATGGCAAGATGGACAGAGGCCAGATAGTCATAAAATGAAATAAAGAATGAAGAAACAATACCACCTAAAAGTGAGTTTATTTTCATTGACTTAGAAAAGCCTCAGTCACACTGTAATCTTTAGTTTCTTTTTCTAAATTCATGTATTCTATCCATGATCCCCAAGAAATTAGGTGTGATCATCTTTCATATCTAATTGATCAATACCTAATATGATCAATTTTTAATGAGGAAACTGGCCCAGAAGCCCTTGCTGGGTTTTTGTCATTCTCATATTAGCCTTGGAGAGGAAGGCAGAGAAGAATAAAACAAGAGAGTGGATAGAATAATTTGCCCCAGTCTGCAGAGTATTACTGGGAAGGGATGAGACTGGGAAGGGAAAGGTTAGAAATCCTCTGGAAGTCAGCAGAAAGGAATGATGAAACTTCAGTGGTTTCGTTAGATTGTGCAATTCACCAAGATACCTAGTGGCTATTCAGAGAACCTCATGAAATGCAGGAAAAACTTCTACTGTCATCCTGCCAGGATCACATCACACACTGAACGATAAGGAAGCAAAGAAACATGAAAACACTGGGGCATACCCGTGATCTATTCTCCAATAAAAGGGGGCTCAGACAACCACCTGTAAAATGCCCACGATGCAAATTATAATTGCCTTGGCATTTTAAAAAGAAGGGGGAAATCTCCCAGAACCCAGAAACTCTTAAGCCAAAATGCCACAGAAATATTTTATCATTTGACTAACACATATCCATGCCAGGTGGCACACAGAAGCATTCCAAATGAAAAGTCTGACCTTTTAGGAAAGATAAAACTGCATCTTCCCCAATGAATACGCATGAGCAATTTGTTGCAAGAATGTTTCTTACATCAAATGTTGAGCTCACAGTCTCTCTGTGCTGGAACTCTAAGAGATGTTAGTCAGACTCAGGCACTCACCAGCTTGTAAACCACTCTGCAGGGCAATGATTTTCTGCTGCTGCTGGTCAATTAGGTTTGTTAGTGCTTTCACATGCTTCAAGGTAAGTTCAAGAACCACTGCTTTTTCCAAGTGACCCAAAGTCTGGAATAAAAAAAGCCTTAGTCAGTGGTGAGGTCAGATGAGTCTCACCTCTGGGACACTTAACTAGCAATGAGAAATGTCTCTAAAGGAAAAAAAAAA